CAACGGAGTGAGACTCTGTCTCAAAAAAATAAAAGTAAAAAACTTTATTGGTCAAACTTCATCCACCCATAATTTCTCTGCTAACAGTTTAAAGAACACTGAAGTCCTTATAAAAAGCCAGGCCAGGAAGGAAGAGACGTGGGGCCAGTGAGATCCCAGACTGGAGCTCCAGAAAGATGCTTAGAGCTCCTACTCTCAGGACACAGAACCCCGGGGTCAAGCTCCTAATCCAAATAGGTAATGTCGACTCCAGCAAAAGGACTGATAAACCTTCACACCAATCCTCCAGTCATCAGAGGAAAAAAAACCACCTTTCTGATTCTCAAGCATCTACTAGTTCAATAAAGAACAATTAGAGAAATATGGACAGAGGCCAGGTGGCTCATGCCTATAATCCCAGTGCCTTCAGAGGCCAAGGTGAGAGGATCACTTGAGTTCAAGACCAGCATGGGCAACGTAGTGAGACCCTGCCTCTTTAAAAAATTTAAAAATTAACCAGGTATATGGTGGTGTATACCTGTAGTCCCAGCTACTCAGGAAGCTGAGGTGGGAGGATCGCTCGAGGCCAGGAGGTTGAATTATGATGGTGCCACCACACTGTAATCTGAGCAAAGACACTGTCTCTTAAAAAAATTAAAATTAAACAGAAATATAGACAGAAAATATGATACACCCTGGTTTCCTAAAGCCTCATCAAGATGGTAAACCACTCATTATTCTATTAATGACATCACCATTGTTTCATTAAGAACCTGAATGTTAATGATAATCCTAACAACTCACTGAATGCCCACTCCTGTGACAGTGCCCTTCACTAAATCCCTGAGGGCAGGACGACGTCTATCTTATCTTTACATGCACAGCACTTAGGACACAGCCTGGCACATGAGAGCTTGGTGTCCACTTACTGAATGAACGAATGAGTGAATGAATGCCGGGCACCCTGCTAGATACCTTAATCACTTTTCCCCACCGTGCGTCTTCCACAGGGCTAAACACACAGCAGCGTTCCATAAACTTGCTGACGGGCTAGCTGATCTAGCAGACAACTGAGGGAAAGAAGTTACATAGAACAGCCCGTTGTGGACCAGTGTCACTCAGCCACCCTGGTTGCAAGCTGCTAAGTTGGCCAGCAAGAGAAACAGAACAAAAGCTCCATAAACCTCCACCAGCATGCTGGAAGAACCATTGACCTTCTCAAACAGGCCTGGCAAGGAAGCCTAGGCCTAGGGATGTTCACCATGTGGAAATCTACTCTGTCAGGGATCTGTTCAATGAAACAGCAACTGCTATGCAGAGTATCTAAGAGCCGGCACCTGAAAAGGGGCATGTGAGAGCCTTTAGGTACAGAATTAATGCCTCAGGATTCATGTCAAATGTCTACCAGATGATGTACATAATATAGATAAATAAATAACTCATTTGGGGTGAAAATAAAACACTCCCTGTCAGCTTTTGGAGATACTGGTTTGGCATTCGGTGTCCTGGGGCTGCAGTCCCCAACCCCCAGGCGGGGCACACAGCAGGAGGTGAGCTTGTTTACAGCTGCTCCCCACAGCTCACCATCCCCCACCACCCCCCACCTGTGGAAAAATTGTCTTCCATGAATCTGGTCCCTGGTGCCAAAAAGGTTGGGGACACTGTCCTGGCGTATGCTAAGCTCAC